TACGGTGCAGGCTCTGCTCTCAGTGGGGTCAGTGTTTTCAGTGGGCTGACTTCCAGTGTGCAGCTCTGTGCAGTGTAAGGACAATGCCAGCAGGTTAAAGGACTCTGAAGTGACTCTCAGTGTTCACACTTAGGCTTTCCACTCCCCCCCTCTGCTTATACCTTTGTCAAAAGCCCAGAAACCAGCTTAACAAATATGCACCACCAGATTGCTGTTCAGTAAATCCTTATTTTGACAACTTATGGAGGGCAATACATTGTGAATGAGTTTTTATTACAGTATTTTCACATTTAAAGTTTATTCTTAATTGCATCCATCAGAACCTTGCTTAGGAAGGAAAAAATCTTACGTGGCTCCTTGCATAAACAAGGGTCCAGACATGGTCACCTGGAGGTGTCCTCCAGTGGTTGTTCCCTAAGATGCAACAGCTACCTAAACAGGAGGGAAGGAAGCAGCTTGTTAGTTGAAATTGGAGAGCATGTCTCATCAAGGGTAGCAGCACTTTTTTTCTGTCTGAGTTGTTTTTATGAAGGTGCTCTATATCAGCTTTCATTCTGAGAGCATGGAAGCTGTGAAGCAGTGAGAGAAATTGCCAGCATTGGGAGGTCTGGAAAATAGGGGGTAAGGTCCCACAAACCAGCCTGGATTTTGTCTTTAAACCATCCAAATCAAACACAGACTTTATGAGAGTTTCCAAGTCGCCGGTGGAAACTCATGGTCTGGAATTTGCAGCTTTGACACCTACTTGAGTTTGATAGCACTCTTTGTGATCGCTACATATAGAAAGTGTTTTTATAGGATGCCATAATGGTAGGATAGAAGGTGATGGAAAGCTGGAAGAATGCAGTGCCTTGTCTGCATTACTAGATCTGTGCTCTTCACAGATCAGACCCAATGACAGCAATTCAGGGCCATGAGCAAATGGAAAATCAAGAGTTTTGTGACTGCAAAGCTTTTAGACTGGAATTCAATTGGGGGACAGATTCCATCTGTGCTGAGACTTCTCTTGCATTTTAGCAGCCTGAGGCCTTTCAGTAACCCATAATAACTCTCTCCATTTATGTGTGGAACCATCTTCTGCTGAATGACCAGTGGGTGACTTCTGGAAGGGATTTCAAGAAGGTTGTACAATTACGAGCATTTACGAGATACGGTTTAGTGGCTTGTGGTAGCAAGAGTAATGGGAGGATAATTGGACTAGATGATCTTGTAGGTCCTTTCCAACCTTGTGATTCTATGATTAAATATTTGTTTAGGGTGTTCTTCTTTGTTTGCTTGCTTGTTTTTCTGGGCCACGCAGTAGTTTGTAGACAGCTTTGTGAAGTTCTGAGGGTTCTTCCACTCACTGTAGTTGTACGTTGGTATTAGTCCAGGAGCACTCTTCCAGAAGGAAAGTGCCTTTGGGAAATTGGCCTATGCCCCTACATGACACCTCAAAGCAAACACAATGGCAGCAGGAATGTTTAATGCCTCAGGAATGCTGTGATCCCCTCGTGAGGCTATCAGAGAAGGGAGGAAAAAAGAGCCAAATAGGTGTTTATTTTTACCGCCTATCTTGTCTTGCATGTGTTTTTAAGTGAAAAGTAGAGTGTGGAACTACATCCCAGTTAAATAATGAACATTGCACAGCTTTGTTCAAAACCTGACTCTGTTGAGTGCTGTTTCATCATTAGGTTTACCGGGTGAGAAAGGAGACAGAGGAAATCCAGGTGTTGGAACTCAAGGACCCCGAGGCCCACCCGGATCTACAGGTAAAGATGTTAATAAGTGGCTTTGGGCTCCCCTGGCCCATTTGCAAAGCACCTCAGAATTTAATGGCTGTGCCCTCTGCTTCGAAGGCTTATGTTGCAGAGGCATCAGTCATTGGACACCTTGCTGTTGTAACGTTTGTACTGTGCAATATGGCGTTGTGATGTGATACATGATGGTATCATCAGTCACATCAGTTTTCCTTTTCAGAGATGACATCTGATAGGTAAAAATTAATCTGGATTAATTGCATTTGTCTTTTCAATGATTCAAGGTCAACTAACTTGAAGAGAAATGTGTATTAATTTAGCTCCTTAATCAAAGAGAGTTATAGTTAGTCCCTGAAAAACGGAGGGTGAAACATGCATAAAATTGCGTTGACTTTGTTAGGATGTTCTTTCCATTAGAGTATCAATATCAAGGCACAGTGCTACCCAGAAGGTGAATTGAAGCAGTGTGGGTGAAAGGGAGACCTATGCATGCAGTCCTCCCCCCATGAAACTGCCTTTCCAAATGTCTGACACTTGGTGAAACGTTTGTGCTTTGGAAATACTAGTATAAATATCTGGCTAAGAGCTGTCTTTGGCAAGGAACACAAAGCAACAGCCAGAGAAGAGGCTTGTCAGGAGCAGGAAAAAGTTTGGAGCCTTTCCCTCAGCACGTGTGGGGGAGCTGGAGCAGAGAGGCGCAGCCCCTGTGCTCGAGCCATCTGCCATATTTGTAGCGAGCTCTGTGCCATCGTCTCCTAGCACCAGGCCTGCAGCGCTGCCGAGGCGGTCGACCCACTGCCTTGTGAGAGATGCTAGTCACACGTTTCGTCTCCCTGTTTTATGCAGGACCTCCAGGCGAGAGCAGAACTGGCAGCCCCGGCCCACCAGGCTCTCCAGGCCCACGAGGCCCTGCTGGTCACACCGGGCCCCCTGGCTCCCAGGGCCCCGCCGGCCCCCCGGGGTACTGTGACCCCTCCTCCTGTGCTGGCTATGGTATGGGAGGTGAGTAAGCTGCGCGTGGGGGGAGGCGGGGCGAGGAAACACAGCGTGTCCTTCTAACAGCCAAAGTAAGATGGAGGCTACTGGGGATCCTTGCACTAAAACGTGATTAGCTCCGTAAAAACACACACGTCCAGTGCTGCTGAATTTAGTGGAATGAGCCCACAAACCAAAGGTGCCCGCAGCACAGTGACCGGAGTCCACCATCTGATTTGGGCCTGTGAATGGAGGAAGTGTATTGGGTTTTGTCTTGTGTGTGTGTGTGTAACTGTACGAGCCTGCTCCACCTGAACGTTCTGTGTGTTGAATCCCACCTCCTGATGTTGGCGACAGCAGAGCCGTACATCTCTAGTTGTTAAAACGTGTTTCTCCACTTCCTCTTCCGTGTGCCTCCATGTGGCATGAGAGCATGAACGTTACTAAACCTGCCCAGAGTAACCTGGAACAGGGATGCACGTCTGTCATTAACAAGTGAAGCAATCTGGAGAAAATGATTCTTTCTGTATCTTCTGTGTATTCTACTTTCCTTGTCTGTTGTAGCACAGAGGCTGAGGGAAGAAGTTAACACAGTTATCAAAAGTGATGTTGTCCAGCCTAAAATTGAAATTTGTTTTAGTAAATAACTAGTTACTACAAACGTTATGCATAGGGCTTATTTGTTTGATGTTTGCAGTTTAATCTGCCCGTGAAGTGATTTGTATGTTTTACTTATGTGAATGTTTTTGTTGTCGTCTCTTCCTATCCTTTTTTCCTCACTTCCCTTCCCTGTTGTTCATTTCCTGTTTTAAGGCCCAATCCCTTACAATGGCTACCAATCCAGAAGGTGAAAGATTCATTCTGGTTCAGTCCTCATTTGGCTGAAGGTCAGATACGGATGCTGAACTGCTCTGTGCTTTCCATCGATATTGACTACCACTAATGAACCTGCTAGCTGCTGTACATGCACTTAGCTTCCTTGCACTGCTAAAAGCTATTGTCTGACCCGTTTTGCCCGTTAATCATATATTCCAGCCCATAATAGGAATAAGCTAAAGCAGGAAGATTGTGCAGTGTATAATAAGCACAGTATTACAACTGGACATAAGACAAATTCTGGTGGTGGTTTCCAACTAACTTGGCTGTATGTTGGTGGGTTTCCAATTGCTCCAGCTTATTAATTTTCTTAAATGTTTTCACTGTTCCTTCATGTGAATAAAAAAATGTGTATTTAAAGATTATATATATATATACACACACACTCTCTCTATGTATAAAAGGTATATATATGTGTCAATTTCCTAATGAACGCTTCAATTTTCTGCTCCCCTTCTCCTGTGTTAACCATATGAATACTCTTGGTGGTGGTGGGTTAAGGTGGATACGGTGAGCCAACTGATCAAGACATCCCAGTAGTGCAGTTGCCACATAACTCCTACCAAATCTATGACCCTGAGGACCTTTATGATGGTGAGCAACAGCCGTACGTAGTTCACGGGTCCTACCCTTTACCATCCCCATACTCCCAGTCCTCCTATGCATCACCTCATCTTGCTCAACCAGAGTTTACTCCCGTTCGAGAAGAGATGGAAGCCGTTGAGCTGAGATCCCCTGGAATTAGTCGCTTCAGAAGGAAGATAGCCAAAAGAAGCATCAAGACTCTGGAACACAAAAGGGAAAATGGCAAAGAGCCCTCCCAATGAACTGTTTAGAAAGGGAAATATTTTATGTGCATCTGTATTTGGCCCCTTGTCCAGGTGCCTGATCTGTCACTGAAGATGTTTACAGGCTCTTTATTAAAGAAAAATACATGTACCAGACCAGTTGAAACGAGAAATAAAGGTAAAATTATCTTGCATGCCAGAAACTTAGTATGTTAGTGGGTCAGTGCTAGATGATGTTGGAAGATCACTTTCAGATCTTTCTCCAGAGTACAGTATTCAAGCTGTATCTGAAAAAATGCATCTGGTTAGTTGGTGTAGATAGAACTGTTCAACAAAGCTTATGTTTTGTTACCCAAATTTTTGCAGCTGACTGTGTTCTGTTAGTTTTGGATGAATTGCTTTTACTAGCAGAGTAACACTACTAAATTCACCAGACAAAAGTACATTATCAGGTTTCCTTAAAACCTTTCACAAAGAAGTCTTATCTTAACGGTATTTGTTTTTAACCCACATTATGCAAACACACAAGAATGTTCTGTGGGAGTACACTGATAATTTATTGTGAACCTCTTTCATTTCTGTTTTGTATGCAAATAAAAGTGGCAAGCTTTTATGTGTTGATTCTGGATTTATTTGACTGATTTGAGCTTGAAACAGTAGTGTAGATCTTCAGGGGACAGAATGTAAAGAGAAGAAAACATATTTTCCTTTTCCAGCACTTTTGTACAATGGTTTTATTGTAAAGGTTACAGGCACTCAGCTGAAAGAATATTTAGCCTTATTTATACAATGTATGAAGAAGTGGGGAGATGAAAAATGAGATAAGGAAGCTGTCCCTTCTGTGGATGTGAGATTTTGGATATTAACGTGCCAAAGTCAAAAGCCTGGAAGAAATGGTTGCAAAAGCCACTTGGATCACCTAAAAATGAGAGAAAGAAAAGAAAAAACAACAACCCAACCACTTGAGAATAACAAAGCAATTAAAGAGGTTAAAACAAAGCAGACAACTTCTAAAGTGATTCAATAAACAGCTTTGAACATTACTGAGACTAAGAAACAAAGGAAGTTTTAAAGCAGAAGGTCAAAAATGTGCATACACTTAAAATGAAGTCATGGATTTTAAGTACTGTTAATCCAGCCCTACAGAGCCCTAGACAGGCTGACCTGTGGGTTCCAGGACCAGGTTCCTGCTTGCCCCTGACAAAGTTCAGCCTCTTCAATCGCAGGAGGGAGATGTGTCAGCTTTTGCTTCTGGCCACTGCCAGAAGCTCTCTTAGCTCGTGACAAAGAAGAGAAACTGGTGATGAGACAGCTGCATACCTTTACTGTATTAATCTCAAGTTCTCTGGCCCAGAAGTCAGCCTCATTAATAACACAAACAATTTACACATGCAACTAATACCCATGGCTGTGTATATCCCAGGGCAATTTCCTGCTACGTGGCTGTATTCCTTTCTATGCTGTTTCTGTTTTCCCACTGATTTTCCCAGCCCTAAATCTCACCACTTTTCTTGTAGAAGGGTGATTAAGATTGCCATAGATGTGAGTTCCCAATACAGACCTGTATTTAAAGTATAAGGTAGATAACTTACTGACTTTTACCTTTAACCAGATTAACCCCACTTTACAGTGCTGCAAGGCGTCATCTTCCCTGTGCTTCCCCAGCAGCCATCCTGTCTCCAAGCCCCCCCAAATTGCAGGACAGGAGCCCCACAGTGCACACGCAATCATCCTCGTCATCACTGCGTATGGGAGACTACGTGCAGTGGATTAAGCAAAGTGAGAGTATTTCTTGGGTAGGCATTCCCACTACAATTTTCTAATTTATATCCTGAAGGACAAGCTTTAATTGTGTTTTATGTTTTGCTTTATGTGCTTTATGTTTTTAACGACAGCATTAGCTGCTAACCAGAGTGCTTCATTTAGCACTGGCTCCATGTCAACTTGTTGCAGATGCAAAACTAACTTTTTGGTGGCTACTATGACATATAAAAGTAATACTCAGGCTTTATGCATTTGCCAAAAGAGAGTGAGACACAGACACAGCTGCTCAGTATTTTCTCCAGAATTCAGTCACTGTACCATCAGGAGTGTCTTGCATTTTTCCAGACAGCCTAAGAAACGTAAGTTGCTGACCGTGAAGTTTGCAGCACATGAATGTATGGCTGACGTCACCCAAATCTTACCTACAAATTACGTACTGCATTCTTGCACAAAACGTGTTTTTTTTAACCTTTGAAGAATGCTTTCAGGATTGAATTAAGTTTCATTACTGTTGTGGAAGTGTAGCCTTGCATGTTCTATGGGCAGGAATGGGATAAACCTGAGCAAAAGGCTGAAGAAATGCATATAAAATCAGATCATACCTAAAGCATTGTTTTGCTTCCTCTACACTGCTTCAACAAAATGGGTGTTGGAAACACAGACTTTCCTCACCAACCGCTGTAAAAATTGGAAGATAACAAATCAGTATAGAAAACATGAAGGGATTCATTTATTTACACGACTTTGGATTGAAGACTGTCTATGCAGAAAAACAATTGAGAAATGTCTTTGGTCAGGTGGTGTTGCCTCTGAAATACACGCTGTTCTTGGTGCTCTGCAGTCCTCCAGCACTTCCTTATCACCTTATCTTGTTCCAAAATGCAGATTTTAACAGATCTGTTATGTCTAATGGGACTGCAGTATGCATGTACTTGTGTTTGGATATGTGCACTGCTTTCTTGGAAGATGAGTCTTGACAGGTTGTTTTGTTCTGTTGTTTTAAATGCAATTTGGCTCCAGATGATGCCCACCAGCACCTCAGTCATGGCAGCGGGCAAAGCAGCTAAAAAGACATGGAAACTGAAGGCCTGCACAGACAGGCAAGCATCTAAATCCCACCATTTATGTTTTGTGATATGTGCAAACCGGGTTCTAGACAAAGCTTTCAAGAAACTGCACAACATGACTTCTGCAGAGATAGACAGATAAAGGTTAAACACCTCAAGCCACTTATTTTCAATCCATAACTATTCACTACTCCTACCAGATGAAAGTCAAGTTTTGCAGCTTCTACGGTGAGATACCTCATTTCAGCAAACAAGGTACTGCTCCCCTCAGGTTTAAGTATTCAAAAAAACAACAACTGTAGCCATTGTTTAATAATAGCAATAAAAGGAATTTAATTAACAGATAACACACAACATGGAGTACAGGTCACGTGAGTAACGTAGCATCCATCCTTAGCTGCTTTAAATACAACCATTTTTACAATCTTTCTCAATAAGATTTGCTAATACCTGCCAGAAGCTTTCTGCATTCAAGGGATAACCCAGATGCACAGATGAGTTCTTCTGCCATGAAAGAATTCTTTTCCAAGGAGGACGGGCATTCCTGATAGCAATTTTTCTTTCTATTACTTCATTCGAAAATCTTTAGGCCTGGAAAACACACAGAAGAAGGGTTTTTTAGGAGAATTTAAGTGGAAAATATATTGACGTTGCTGTAAAGGTGCAGTAAGCACTGCATCTATTTTTATTTCTGTATTGTTCTGCTTTTAATGCTGCTGAACATTTTCTGGCTTACATAAAAACACAGAACAAAGCTAGAACTTTTATTAAGAGTTAAGTGCAAGACTTAGTGCAGGCTGATGGTCTGTGGTGTGCCCTGGGCTAACACCACGTGTGGACGGCCAGAATGGGCAGCTGCCTCACATGGGATCACTAAGTAACACAGAATCACAAGGTTGGAAATGACCTACAAGATGATCTAGTCCAACTGTCCTCCCATTACCATTGCTACCACAAGCACTAAACCATATGTCGTAGCTCCTCATCCAGACGCCTCTTGAACACTGCCAGGGACGGCAACTTCACCACCTCCCTGGGCCGCCATTCCAGTGCCTGACCACCCTCTGAGAGAAAAAGTTCTTCCTTATGTCTAACCCAAACCTCCTCTGGTACAACTTGTGGCCACTTCCACCATCCATACAAATCTTATGAGACAGCAACTCCTCCATTCAGTGAGTGTGGCAAGTGCAGCATATGAAATCTGAAGGTTATATGAATTTTAAAGAGAAAAAATAGAGCAACTTCAAAAGCAAGAGGTTTGTATGGTGCAGAATCACAAAGGAATCACAAAGCTTCTGTTTTTTATTTAAGAAACATATGACTATTTGAATTCATACAGTTGAGCATAAAAGAACAATGGTACACACAGTGTAAATTGTTTACATGCTTAATGTTGGCCTTGAAGGAACTCAGTATGCGAGGGCTGCTATGCGCTGGAAAATCAATTCCTGTTTCCTAGAATTCCAGATTTCAGTCCTTAAAAATATTTCATACTTTGTTAGTCATATCTCACTACTGCCTGAATGAATATACATTGAATTATATCACAGTTAGTGCTGAGGTGGGAGAGAGGGATTTTAAGAAATTCTCAGTAGTGACTTGGAAGTGTTATTGCTGCATCCATCCTAGACAGGTGCTCGAGGATTCTAGACAAGCTGCATGGAAAAGACATCACTGTCTTGCAGCTGTATTTATTACTCTTTTTATGGCCCAATTCATCCATCGCCCTGCACAGTGCTGAAAGGATTCTGCGCTCTCCTTTGAACACCACATCTAAAACTTCAGCTGAGAGTAACACTGCAGTGCTGCAGAGCTGGGGACCTCACAGTACTTTTGTCCAGGGCTGAAAATCTGTGTTTTTTTTTTGTTTGTTTGTTTTTTTTTTTCCCTTGCTTTTAACCTGTATTTCAAAATCAATGATTGTCTTAAAGTTAAATGCAAAAACCATTGGCTTCAGTTTGCGGCCTTACAAACTTAATGAAGCTTGAAGGCAGAATTTTCTACACTGAGACACTTGTGTGAACAAACATAAAAGTTTTAAAAGCCTTTTCAAGTGTCACAGTAGGCTTTTATGCCAACTGGTGCTCCATGTCTGGGGACCACAATCTCTGTTTTTAAAGAGTCCTTGGCACCAGGAAAGCAAAGCCTTGAAAAGCACTGTGTCTAGCAAAAGTTGTAAATATTGTCCAAAGAAGACCATAAACACACAAAAAACCATTGTCTACTCAGAGAGAATTATGAGCCACTTGTGAAAACCAGTGGATAACTGCTCATTGATGAACTGCATAAATCTCGGATGGCAGTGCTTTCATGCCTCCTCAGCAAAGCACTGAAATCATGCATTTGGACCAAAGAAATGGCATCTCCCAGAAGAGGTGAATTTAAAAATGCCCAGTGCTTCCCTAAAACATCAAAATCACAGCTACAAGCATCTACGATTTGTGTCTTTTTAGCCTTCATCTCACACGAGAGAAACTATCGCTGAGAGAAGCAGTAACACTGCTGCTGTATATGCTCTAAGTCCTGCAAGTTGAAAAAAGCACAGTGCCATGTCACATTTCTCCTATTCAGCCATTAGACTGTGGGCTCATTTCACTGCCATTTCATGGTTCTGTAGGAAGCAGAATAAAATTGTGCACTGTATTCACTCAGAAAGGAGGTTATTCAGTGCTTAAGAGAACACAGAACCAATGGCACATTAATAAGACTGAAGCAGCAGAATTCATTTCAAAATGCAAAGTATGTAATAGGAGAAGTTTACACTGAAAATCCCTTTAAAATGTTACATCACTCTCTCTCTCTCAACAGAGCTGATAATACAAAGCAAAAGTTCTCATCTTCCTGATGTGCCTGCTGAGAACTCATGCAAGGTACCTACAGATTCTGTGCAAAATGCTAGGAGGAAAATGGTAGGAAGCCAGGTCTGTCTGGCTCACTGCTATAAACTACTTTCAGTGTGCTACGTAGCACAGAGAGAGCAACCTCCAAGAGAAGGATCTGTGGGCTCTCCAATGCCTGGAAGGGGCCATACGCTGCTTCGGAGTTACATGCTGTCACCACAGCACATGTGCAGCAGAGCATAGGAATGGGACTGGTTTATAAAAGTCAGGAGTTGGTCTCATATTCTGAAAATAAAGGACCAGAATATCTGAGCAAGCTTTGTAAATCCAGGTATTCTTTTCACATCCACTGTTTGAATCAAATGGATACCATGAGTTAACTACAGACCATGCATGTGAGCACTTTGCTGATGTTTGTTTGGATCTGCTACATGCAGAAGAAAATATTCAAAGTTTGTGGGAATTCAGGATTTAAATAATTTATCCTTACGTGATTTATCCATACACGATTTAGCTCATTGCCAGAAACAGTGAATTAAACATAAGGGACTCTGAAGACATCCTATGCATCAAGGTTACATTTAGTGATAAACACAACAGAGCAATGAGAGAATCTCAGAAACACACATCTGATTCATTCTTTCTCAAGGTTAGAACCATTTAGCTAGATGAACAAACTCAAAAGGTGAGCTGGAGGGGTTCAATGAGATGTGCAAATGCTTCGGACACCACTCACCTACATGTAACTTCAATCTGATCTGCTCTAACAGAGTGACAAAAATGTAACTGCGTGTGAAATCAGCCTGGACACCAAAGAGAGAATTAGTGCGGTCAGGCTTTAGCCTAAGGAAGTGAGCCTCTTCAGGTCATCTTGAAAGAGAGGCAAGGCTTCTCCAGAGTACTTTAAGTAAAGATCTATTTGTCTTTCCAAAAATCTATTTGTTTTCCACAGCTTAAACGACTAGTGCTGAACTAATACCAAAGTTAGCTGACCACACGGATTAGCAAGAGAGTGAAGATTTTTCCCTGAGAGCTCACATAGAGCAGTTCCTGCAGCTGCTTATAACAAGGCTGTCTTGAATCTAGGCCAGTTCACCAATTCTTTTTACACCATTCTACACAAGCACAGCGAAAAGGCAGAAGTAATGGATGTCACTTAAAGGCAGCACTTCTTGCCAGGAGGAATGCCCATGGAGCTACGGGCTCAGTCTGAATATTCCAGCTGGTTTAAACAAGCAGTACAAAGAAACCCTATGTGATGCAACTCTGCAGACAGCCCCCTCCCAGCATCCAATATTCTTTCATATGTGAAATTTCCTCCCCCTAAGGTATTTTTCTTGTCTAAGGAGACATACAAAGACCCCTTCTAAATGTTCCATGTGTTCAACTTCTAACTCCTGTAGTGAAAATTTATTTCCATCAGGTACGAACAGCCTCACCACACAGTTGCACCTTTATTAAATCCCTGTCAGCACATTCCAGCAGAGATGTTTCCCTCTGCCTAGCAATGTTTGGAGCTAAAACATCCTTAGAAAAAGAAAAATTAAAAAAGGAGTGGGAGGAGGCGGGTGGTACTGTTTGTGAAAGTCAGATCTAAGTACTCACCCATCTCTGTTACACTGGAACTATCCTATTTATTTCAGAAATTCAGAAGCCAACTTCATAGCCTTACTTCTAGCTAACAGACAGCCCTCGCAGCAGACAGATGAAAAATAGCATTACTTGCCTTACAGAAATAAAGTTAAGGTTCTACTGTAACATATGACATTATTGACTCTGTATGTAGTTATTTTACCAGCCACTACAGCATTTCAACTTATCTCTAACAACTCCTAACACACAGTGCTTGTACTTTTCGGAGATGAAGTAGTCATACGCTTGTCTGCTTTATCAACCACACGTGGCTGTTAAAGTGTCTTTTGATAACATTCTTTTCTTTCAAGCTCCAAAGAAGAAGAGTCACTTCTCCATAAGTAATCTCTATGTAGATAGATGAATTTTCTGCCGCACTGCAAAAAAGAGTTCTACAAAATCAAATTTCAGGGAGTCGTTGCAGTCATTTGTGTGACTGCAAGCGTGCATTCATGAAAGCTAACTCATATTTTAGACCTGCCCTTGCAAAGGAATAGGGCTGACAATATTGAGTAAGTGACCTATCATTACCTGCTCTTGACTCAGAAATGCACACCTGGTTTGGAAGCTTTGAAGATCTCAAATTACATTTTTCTCTTTACCTGCAGGCAGTTATCTCAACATTAGGGAATGTGACCCAGAGAGACAGAGTGCCCTGTATTTTCTGCTATCTCACTGACATGAAAAATGACTATTCAGAAGGGATTGAACCTTGCATCAGCACTGTAAAAGGTCAGTGCCTTAAAGCTAACCAATGCTGCACACTAATAAACTGACACAAAGATTCAAGCAGTGGTACAGGAGCGAAAGTTGAAAAGGTTACTTGTATGTTTGACTTCATTCCTTCCATGGATGAGAAAAAGCACTCCAGATGCATTAAAAAATATAAATCATCCTGCATAAAGGTACAACCATGCCATTCATGTTGTGTGCAATGCTCTGTATTACTAATGACTTGAAATCTTTCATGTCTGGTAGGATTCCCTATCTGCACTGGCTATCAGAAAATATCAGAAAATAAAAAATCAGTTGTAACTCATAATCATGTAGAGCCTCTGGACATTCAACAAAGGCACGAGAGGGGTCCTGCACCAGGAGAAGAAAAACACCACACACCAG